GCACAGAAAGCTTGTTAAAAGTGTGGAAACATTATGAGAAGCTGACAAATAGATGGCAGGATGTGGAAAACAGTTTGTTACAGAGATCCTGCAGAAGCTCCATAACACTGAGTGATTGATTAGGGTGGGGAGTAGGAAGACAATCTTGTCCTTTCGGATTTGCTTCATGCTTCTATTGGAATTGTTAGGATTATGACGGATTATGAAATCCCTGGGCTTTTGAAAGAGCGTCTTAATAAGATCATTGGGTTTGGCCAAAAGGGATATGTCAAAATATGATAAACCATTGAGCAATACTGTATGTCTCACCTAGGAGGGGAACAATCACATAACAAAATTAAATCATCCCCTTTTCCCTTCAGCATTCAGCAGTTAGAACCATTTTTTATTTCTTGGTTCAAACCCATTTTTTTTGTCTAAAATATTGGGCAAGAAAAACAAAAAACAAACTTTAGGAACCACCACATCCCTCCTCAGACAGAGTTCTTGGAAGCCTCAAGGGTAAGTCCTGACTTTGTCCAGAGGGATGTGGCTTAGCCAGCAACTAATACTCCTCCTGTGTTGCAAAATCTGTTTTGCCATGCCTGATACGGCTGCCTTGGCTAAGAAAAAATGTGACACTGGGGTGCATAGTGATAAAAAGTAGGTTACCCGTAGGCTTCAAAAATACACAGCTGTTGTCATTCATGCAAAAAAGAAAAGCAAGCCAAAAAATAACAACCAGATGCAAACTAACAGCTCTAACATATTTGATGCCAACACTGTTAGCATCAACAACTTTTCTTTCTCTGGAGCCCATAAAGACAGTAAGAATCCTTGCTTTCCATGCACTTCAGGAGCAAAGGTAATTTGAACCATCAAGCAAGTTTGTGAGTGTTGGGAGAGGACAGAAATAATGGTTGACCTGTTCAGGGCAGGTAAATCATTAACATGCATCAGGAAAAAGGCAGCATGAAGGAGACAGCTGTGCCCTACACACACAAAGAAAGCTGAGAGATAGAGACATTTACATTGTAAAAGAGGAGCTAGTCGCAGACAGGTTTTCTCAGTTCTTAGCATGTGAGAGCTGCACATGATATTTACTGTAAATTTAAGTAATCTGTTAAGTTCACTACATGCCCCATCCAAGAATAGGACAGGAGATAAACATAGATTCTGGAGACAGCCCAATAGACTTTACAAGATGCTAAAGACACAACTACTAGTGTATGATGAATGAAGAACTGTGCTTGCCATGAATAGTGATAGCCAGTGCTTTACCTTATTTTTTTTTATCTTACTAGAATCCAAGTAGCTTATATGCTTTAAGAATCTTTTAGAGACAAGTGCTTGCTAGGGGTGTATTTGAAGCCTTGAACAGCTGATCAGCAGGAGAACCACAGGAACCACTCCCTACTCCAGCAACAGTGTTAGCTGCTTTTACTGACACAGTCCAAGGTAGTCATCCCAAGAACACCAACAGATATCTGCACACCAATCTTGAAGAGAGATGACAGGGTAACCCAGATTTTGTTTGCAAGCTTTGCTTTTCTGGAGAGCACCTGGTTTGCCTGTGCACTTGTACTGGTGCTCTGAGTCACAACTGCCAAACCTGTCCGAGGCAGGTTCTGTTTCATGTGGCCAGTCTCCCACAGCCATCACAGCACTGTGTTGAGCACCTGGATTGGCAAAAAAGGGCCCTCTGTGCCTCTTCTCATTTTCCAGTTGGAGTTATTTTTAGACTTTTCTTACTGCTTGTTGCAGAAAATATTGCTTCTTCTCTTAATCCTCTGAGCCAGAATAGTGCCTTTCATTTAGCTGAGGCTTTCTGATAATTTTTCTGCCCAGGTCTCCTCCAGAGCACCATGAAGGGCCCCTTGTGTAATGCTGGTAGTGACTTTCCAGGAGCAGTTTCCACACCACAAAGGAATTCTTCCTCAGACATGTATCATCAACTTTTCTGTGGGACACGGTGAGAAGATGACTCAGTCCTGCTCATATCTCTCTGGATGAGCTGAGTTTTGCAGGGAGGTTTCCCCCTCCGTCTGGGGACACAGTCATTGCAGGTGACTGTACAGAAGTGAGTAGTCATTGCGGGGTTTGCATGGCTTCTTGGCACCACAAACACACCGCAGCGTACTCCACTACTGTCGCGTCTGCCTGTTTCAATAGCTACGTATTGACCTGCATGTTGGGTTCCAGTTTAGACATTTGAACAATAGTGAATTTGATGAACTCTTGCAAATATGACAAAGCTATTCAGATAGAGAATTTTCCATGTAAACCCACCTATCTCAAGTAACAATATTAAAACCATTATGTCCATAGAAAGCTGTTTTGCCTCTGAGATTGATGCTAGGCAGGAGTGAAGGAAGAAGGTGCCACAAAAGTAGGGTGAATAATGACTGCTGCAAAAGTATAAGAAATAATCCTAATTGTATGATAAATGTCATTAAAGGGGATGTTTAATAGAAGCAGTGTCATGGTGTTATACATCTATAATATACATATGTAATATATATATTCTACTACACGTGTATATTTTAAACTTTCTTCGTGAACACAACACATGTAGAATATACCGTATATACAAATAAACTTAGAATGCATGCAAACACATATTATATAATGCACTTTATTATATACACACTGGGCTTCTTAAATGAATACTGGTAGTGACTCACCTCCTCAGAGTGCATTGCTTGAATGCAGGCTGATTGCAACTCAATCTATACCAGGAAGGAAAATTAAATCACCCACAAAAAGTGCATTGCAGTCAGCCAAAGAAGCTTGACTGAACATAATGAGAAAACCAAGGTACACCTGGCCAGCCTGTTCCCAAAAATCATAACCTTCCATCAGCAGATTTTTCATTTTAGTCTGCCCCATGTCTGAAAACTGTGTCTGGAAAAAAGAGCCAGACAGTGGCTGTTCTGGAGCCTACATCTTTCAGCTTTGCACAGCTGAGAATTCTAATTCAGATGCTATCTACCAACTGTTTTAAATCTTTCGTAAGTCAAATTTTACCTGTATGCATTACTAACACTGATGGGAGTAAAAGTTTTATCCTGTAGGAACTCACACAGACAAAGCTAAAGGAAGTGTCAATCTTTGTAGGATGCTGGAGGGCTATGGGACCTGTTTGCTGTTCCTGTGCAAGAACAGCATGCTGTAATTAATCACAGCCTTACCCTTGAACTGGGTGCATAAACATGTCTAGAAATACAAGCCCCTTTTAGAGACTAGGAACTCCATGACTACAAAAGGATTCTAACATGTATCATTAAGAAAAAAAAAAACCACACCAAAACCAAAGGTCAAAAAAGAAGTGAATGTTAACTTTGCAGAACACCTGCACAGTGCTGGTTAGGCTATTGTTAGCCAAGCTGACAGGTGCATGCTGTGGTGCAATCCACCAGAAGGGCTTAGAGCAGTAGGAAGATCAATAACAATAAGCTACTAGTACATGTTACACCATTTCTGAATCAGAACAATCAACAAGGATTTTACCTGATTAAAAGTTTGTTTTGGGCTTTTATAAACAAGTAAGTTAATGAGGCAAACAAAGATAAACCAATATAGCCTGTGGAAACTCTTTGGTGCTAATGAAGATGTAGCTGTCTGTGACACCTCCACATGCCATGTGCTGCACAACATCTGCAAGGGTAAGAAAAATAAGACCTTCGGTGTAGGCTTGAGTACCTGCTGGTTTGCACTTTGAACCTGAAAGAGACAGACTCTTTATCCCAGCAGCATGTGGTGACACAGATGTATAAACAGCTCTCTTTCATATAATATTCCTATTTCTTCATTAGGGAATCATCGCACTCTAGGAGTTCATGGGCTGCCATGTTCCTTGAACTGGAGGGACAGGGATGCTGACAAAGAGCTCTCTCTCTGCTATGTTCAGTGTCCATGCAAAAGCTTCTACTAATTTTGCCAGATTGCAGACATTTTGTTGTGAGAATACATTACAAAGATGGTACACCTGGGTGAAGGAATGAGAACTAACCATCAAATCAAAACCCTTGAGTTATTTTGCTTGTTTCACACTCAGACCAACAAGGCTCAGGACATAACTTGTAAGGCAACTGAGTGTCACATTGAGAAAGAGAAATCTAAAAAACTTTGGAGGAAGCCATTGAAAGCTCACCTCTCCCTGTTCAAAAGCCAACCATCTACTTTTTTCTCCTGTCCCTTCTCATATTTCTTATGCCAGTGTCCACAAGGACTCCCATAAAAGCCACTAAATTGCATAACCTTCCTAACAGGGAAGCAGTTTTTCTTCCCTTTCTCTGCCAGTCTCTGAGATATGAAGAAAAATGAAAGATTAGAAAAGGGAGCTTTATGATTAATTAGAACAAATCCATGGTCCATTCTGCCTTGACAGATACAACATTACTCAAGGAATGCAAAACTACAGTAAAATCATACCAAGAAGTTACTTTCTAAAATTGATTCTTGATCACATTACATGCACCTAACAATACATCGTGGAAACCTAATCCTTTAATGGATTTTCATTTATTTATTTTTATAAAAGCATTCTGCAGATGGGATTGGGAAGAAAAGCAGGAAAATAAAAGTAAATAAATGGATAATCAAGGGAAAGAGGTATTCAACACATTTCTGGGAATATGGTACACTTATGCCTGGTAGGACTTCCCATGTGATTTTAGACAAATCAGGTTGTTTTTGTTCCCATTCTCCCCATGACAATTTTGTCGCCTATGCTTGGTAAACAGGCCAGAGATTAAGAAGTTACTTTGAAACTGAAGATATAGCTACTAATACTCAAGGAAAGGAAAAACCATGGGAAAATAGTTGTGAGACAGACATGCTGTTCAAGACACTCAGAAAAAGAGCCATAGGAAAGATATTTTTCAAATGGATTAAAATAAGCACTGCCTCTTTCTAAATTATTGTTCCAATAAATTTAGAAGTGACTAGTTTATCAAGTGTAAGAACATGCTAATTTAGTTTAATTTTTGGAGAAAATGCTAAGAAGAATAGACTGAGAATTTCAACAAATTTTTAATTGTGTAACATATAGTTTGTACTGTCTTGTCATAGCTGGGTTCCACACACAAACAGGTTGGTATTGAAACTGAGCATCTTCATTGGCAACATGCCTGTCAGACGATTCCTGAAAAAGAAGTTGCATAAGCTAATTACTCATCAATCAAATGGAAATCTTTGTTATTTTTCATAGTTAATGACACTTCTGTGGAGTCCCATATGTGTATGACTACCACAGATCAGGCATTTTAAATTAGGCTTTTGAAATTAGGCAGAAAGAATAAACAACAAAGTAAAACCAACAAACAAGCCCCAACAAAACAAAACAAACAAACAAAAAAATTCTCCACTCATGTATTTGTTTTTCTAGAAGTGTTGCAAAAGGCATAATGGATATCTTTTCTTATGATGCAGAAATGTGGACACCCAATGGCCTTCCTTCATGAAAGTATGCACTGTGCAAGCCTGCAGTTACATCCACAACTTATTAAGAGTCACCAACACTCAAAAAGTCACAAAAACTCACCATCTTCCAGTGCATGTTCAGATGGCAGGTGTGCTGCAACGTAGCAGTGGCAGTCATGAAGAAAATGCTGGAGGAGTCATAGATCTGTTTTAATCTGGAGAGTGAGAGAGGACTTTCCCTCAGTGGGAAAGGCATTCATGTTTCTCTTTGGACTGAGGAAGACACTGATCAGAACAGTTAGATAAACTGCCTGGTAAGATCTTATAAGGACTTACCTGAAGCATCTTAGAGAGATTTTTTTGCTAGGACAAGTTACAGTCTTCAATCCCTTCAAGTAATAAGCTGAAGCAAATATAGAAAATGAGTAGAACAAAACTCTGGATGGAGGAGATGACAAAGATTTCACTTCACACTGTTGTTACCCAAAGAAAAGCTCTTTCATGCTCTGTTCTGCCCATGATCTTCTCCTTCCTCTTTGGCAACAAGGTCATGCCATGGAAATAGGCATCAAGAATGTCCTTTCTTGCATCTTCTCTCTTTAGAGCCTTTTGAACATTCTCCAAAGGGTAGCAGAGAGTTTTAAGACCTCAACAAAACAAAGGGAAAATAAAACCACATGCTCAAATAGCTAAGATGTACTCAACATTCACTTACATAAAACTACCTCTAGCCTTCTCTAAACAAAATATACTGATCCTGTCTACACACTCCTGACTAGCTAACGCAGCCATGCATACACCTCACTATCTTTTCCTCCATGGAGTAGAAGGCAGTGTTACCGAAACTTTTATTCCTGCATTTCTTGTTGCATCCCTCTTTTCTTTAACCTTTACAATCAAATCTGATATTTTCACAGGAAAAAACTGATCCAGCACAATGCAGCCAGCATATCCACATCTGCCTTCCTATTGTGATTAATGTTCTCCTTCTAAAGGACATACATTTACCTATGCATGTCATGAGAGTTCACATAAACATATCTGAACTCCTTTTACATTTCCCAGCTCAAGTGTCTGTAACCAAGCAACAATAAACCCAGAGCAAAGAACTAAAGCTTTCCTCAAGGACTTACAAGAGAGTAAACTCTCTTCAGTCAGACTAGCCTGACAAAGCTGAGCTGTACTTAATAAGCACTATGTCAGGAGGAGAGGTGACTGGAGAGGAGCAGGTCCCATGAGGTTATCAAAAGTTGCCCAAGCTGTTATTTGCCTGTGCATCAATCCACTTTGGGGATTTTACTGGCCTAACTTTATTATCGGCTCAAGCAAAAAACCCTGCATACACCTTTGCAGGCCAACACAGATTCATTTACATTGCCATTATTATCCTTGATCTTCCAGACAGCTACAAGAATATCTTTTAAGCAGACACTACTAGCAGGTAGAGATGTGACATGCTTGCAGAGATGGCCTTAGTCTGTTTTTTTTACTAAGTACTTGAAGTTCCTTTATTCCATTCTACTTGCCATAAATGACACTTGGAACATTTCAGAACAATGAATTTTGCAATTATAAAAATGCTACTTAATCTGTTTAAATGAGGGAAGCAGAGTTATCAAACAGTGAGGCTCTAGGCTTAAATATATCAATAGATACCTGCCTAGAAAAAGACATTCTGCCTTGGAGAATCTGGAGCCTAAATCCAGTATTGGAAAAAGAAAACCCACCAAAAACCTAGTGAAACATACAGTCTCGGAAACCAAATGGTTTCTCCCAAAAAAAAAAAAGACCACTATCTCTCTATTCTAGCTGAGCAATTCTACTTGTCAGCAAGAGACTTAAAATGCATCAGGGCATATATCTCAGGCCTGTATTGATGCTGAGAACCTTTTCCCAGGCAGACTTCTGGCATTTTTCACAGCTGCATCTGGGAACATGTTAAGCACCTGCACAAGGCACAATTATGTCTTACAGTGTGCTTCATAGTAGTGCTGTATTTATTTCTCACCTCCTACTCCTTCTTTACTATGGTTAAATAGATATAAAGTAAAATGTGAAAGTGGGAATATGGCTTCATATCAAATGGCAGAGAATTACTTCACTTTTAGGTGAGGGTGGGAGCTGAGAAAAAAAATCATAGAGTGGTTTGGGTTTGGAGAGACCATAAAGCTCATCTAGCTCCAATGCCCCTGTCATGTGCAGGACAGCTCCCACTAGACCAGGTTTCTCAGAGCTCCATCCAACATGATCTTGACACTACCAGGGATGGGGCATCCAGAACTTCTCTGGGCAACCTGTTCCAGTACCTCAGCAGCCTCAAAACAAAGAATTTCTTCTGGTGAAATCCTTTTAAGGGTGCTTGTTTTCATACCTCCACCCACTTTGACATGCCTTTACACCCACTCTAGAGTAGCCACAGGCAAAGCAATGGGCTGTAAGAACATTCAAACAGAGATTGGATGAGCATAATGCAACTTTTTGCAATTGAATCTTATTTTAAAATCTCTATATTTCCAAAAAAGCTGCAGTTCCTTGATTGTTACCTCTGCATCATTCTATGGACTGTTATGGAATAACACATAGTCTGATGTTTTCCATATGGAGACATTTTGGGGGCTAAATCTTCAGGGCAGTTTGCAAGTCCTGCATTCATAGACCAGTTCTGCACCTGAGGTACTGTTTTCTCTGTGCATGTGACACCTACAAACTCAAAACCAATGATTTCTAGACAAAGCATAGGAAAAATTCAGTGCTTCTAGAAGTTAAAAATTTCTCTTAAACTAAAGCAAAAAACTAATACATGACACTACTTGTAATTTCTGTGATTCTAATATTTTGAAGCCTTCTCTTTAATTGTTTCCCTTCCTGACAACTATTGTTTCATAGAGAGAGTTACTGCAATTGAGGTATTCTATTTATTATATTTGTTGTGCTCACCTTTTCTATTGAGAGATGCAGTAAGAGAACAAAATGGAAATTCAAAACTTAGGTCAAGATTTTCAGAGACATTTCATGTTCTTGAAAGCAGCAGAAATGCTTCTTGGTAGATATAATGTAATTGTAACCAAAATAAAAGGACTGCTACTTACTGTTACTTTCTAGTCACTCTTTTCATTCTTAAGGCAGCTTGTCTCTCTGTCAGACACTGAAGATGAGGAGAAGAAGTTACACCCGAGCACTTCTGTTTTTTTTTTTTTTGGTGGCAATACTTTGATATATTAAGCCATACAGGAATTAATGGCCTTTGTCAGGACATGCTCCCTAATCCTCTGGTCTAAGATTCTGCAAATTGCAGAGAATACTGAAGGAAGTTACCCTACATAAATATAGAAGTTAATGTTACAACAACCACAACAATGACAACAACAAAAATTAAAAATACATAAATGAGAAAAAAACAACATTCCCTTTCTCCCACTCTCTTTTTGATTATCAGTTCGATTACTTCTTGTTCTTGGATATCTGGTCTATGTCTCTGCTAGGGGATTCAGAAGCTTCCAGATCACAAATTAGAATACAACAAAAGTAATTACTTCTATTTTTAAGGCAAAAATCAAATAGCAACTTAAAATTTTACTGAAATTCCCAAAAAAACCCAGAAATTTAGCAGTCTAGTCTAATTCAATCTAAATTGTGAAATGGTTTCTACCATGACTTTATTATGAGATATAAATAAATATTTTAATATCACTAAAAGAGGACTATGCAAAATGCCAAGTGGAAACTTCTCAATGACATTGGAAACTGCTTTTCACCAACTTGTATACAGGAAAGGTCAAAATATCTGTTAATCCTGTAAATTCAGAAAAAGTTGTAAAGTTTTGAAAATTTGAACCACATTTGGCCCCCAAATTCAACATGTGTGGATACCTTTTGGAAAACACCTATCAACGCCAGGGCATTGACTTTTCTTTTCTGAAGTAATACCATGTGATTTAAAATAATAATTCTAAAGCTTTGCTTTTCCAGCTGTACAGTACATCATTGTATAGGGTTTGTGAATCCAGGTTCTGGTAGCGGGAGTGGCTTCTATGAGAAGCTGCAGGAAGCTTCCACAGATTCAATCCCAGCTGGCTCCAAGATGGATCCACTGCTGGCCACGGCCAAACCAAGAAGGAACAGGAAGTTGTTGCACAGATGTTAATACATGCAGAGAAGAGCAGAGTGAGAACAGGAGAGAGGAACAGCTCCAGAGACAGCAAGGTCAGTGCAGGAGGTGCTCCAGGCACCAGAGCTGAGGTTCCCCTGCAGCTGTGGTGAGACCATGGTGAGGCAGCTGTGCCCCTGCAGCCATGGAGGTCCCAGGGGATGCAGAGATCCACCTGCAGCCCCTGGAGGAGACCCAGGCCAGAGCAGGTGGATACCTGAGACAAGGCTGTGACCCTGTGGGAGGCCTGGGCTGGAGCAGGGTCCTGACAGGGACCTGCCCACCCATGGAGAGAGGAGCCCATGCTGGAGCAGGTTTCCTGGTAGGACTTGTGATCTTGTGGGGGACCCACACTGCAGCAGGCTTTTCTTGAAGAACTGCACCCTATGGAAAGGGATCCACACTGAAGCAGTTGGTGTAGTAGCCTGTGGGAAGAAGTTGTGCTGGAGAACTGTCTCCCATGGAGGATGCCCCATGGTGGAGCAGGGGAAAGCCTCTTTTCCCTGAGCAATGACAGGAACAATGTGTGATGAACTGACTATAACTCCCACTCCCTGTCTCCCTGCATTATTATGGGGAATGAGACAGAGCTGGGAAGAAGGAAGGAGTAGGGGAAGGTGTTTTTAATTTTCTCATTATACAGCTCTGATGTTTTTAGTAATACATTCAATTTATATCCCAAAGTTCGCTCTGTTTTGTGTCCTGTAAGTGATCCCTTCCCCATCCCTATCTCAACTGATGAGCCTTTTATTTTCTCTCTCTTGTTCAGTTGTGGAGAGTAGTGCCAGAGCAGTTTTGCTGGGCACCTGACATCCAGCAGGGTCAACCAAATACCAGCTACTAAAAAGCCCTTTTTGTGTCCTCTACCTAGGACTGATTTGCTGTATTCATCCCTCTCCCTCTGTGCACAGGCACTCATGCAACTCTGTTCCACTCTGAAAGAGCACAAACCACTCTCGGAAAACTCAGTAGAAGACTTAATTGCAATCAAAATCATCAATTGATTGTGCCACTGAAAGACAGGTCCTAAACCCCTTAACGGTTAGGGGGTTTTGAGGCTCCCGACATTATGTGGCATGACATTAGCTTGCTTTCATGTCAATCTGGTAAGTGTGAACAAGCTATTGAAGCATTACAATAGCGGAGTTTCTCACCGTGGCAGGATGGAGTCAAACGTCAGGGAAGTGCGTGCTTTTTCACAGATGCTTTACTGGTTAATCTTTAACAGTTAAAAGGTTTTTAGATTAGAATTTCTGAGAAAACACCTTATTTTTTCAAACAGGCTACAAAGAAAGGTGGGGAGGAGAACAGTCTAAGTAATATAAAAACAGAAATAGATAAAACAGAAAAAAAGGAAAGAAGCAACTAGAGAAGATGTAGTGGAAGAGTCTCCCTACAAATTCCTTTCATTATGCTGCATTTTATTTTAAAGAATCTAACAAGACATAAGAGGGTTTTCATTCATGAAGAGCAAAGAAGCAATCCAATTTTGCAGCAGAGGTCACTTTCTTGCCACTTGAGGAGAGGTGATGCAAAAAATTTTAGTAATTTTGAACTCTATTACCCAGTTGCCAAGGACATCCCTATACCCAACTGTGCTGTCTTTAACAGCCCTGAGAGGTTCAAAACCTGTAAACACTGTGGTTCAAAAACTGCAGGCAGACAGAGATGGCAGAGTGGTAAACAGGGCTGGCTGTTCCTGATTTTGTCATCTCTGGTAATACCTTTGTCTTCTTGAATAGGTGACAGCTCTGTCTGGAATAACATTTGGTGGATTTGGAGTAATATAGAGTAACCACTTACTGGCAGATTTCTGCAGAGTCTAATCAAGGAAATCTTCTCTGGTTTGTGTAGCATGAGCTCAGATTTTATGAGGTTTGGAAGAACTCTTACTTTCCTCAAGACATTTTTGACAATAGCTTTTACCAAAGCTAGGTGTCTCTGTCAAGGCACTGTGAAGCAATGCTACTTTGATAGCCCCTTTATTTCTTGGCTAATTATCCCATAACAATTTATAATAATTTATAATACAATTTATAATATTTATAATCTCTGGGTGCAATAAAATGCTTTTCTGCTTTTCTGTTAGTGTTAGATTAAGGTTTACATCCTTTATGAAATCATTCATATGTTTAATGTACCTCTGCTAATAGTATTCAGTGGTATGACAACTGAAGGGGTTAAAGCTTTAGGATACCAGAAACGAAGATGAGTGGGTGATATGATCATGCAAAAGAAGCAAGGTCTAATGTTTGCCAGCTATGGTCAGTTGTCCATTTTCTGGGTTAACACTAGCC